TCTTGCAGAATTATTAATTGAAACTTACTAATCACTATGTAGAGGAGAATTTTTTTAAGTCACATTGGTTCAAGGATGACTTAGAAATAAGCTCTTAATAATACAGAGTAAGATGTATTAATTAGCAGAACTTCAAAGTCAAGATAATTTTATTTGTAGTAAGTTCAAGAAAGCTCCTTTTTAGTAGGATAATCTTAGCACAGATAAATTTGTTTAACTAGGAAATCTTCTATTGAGTCATACCAGGAATTTAGCATGCTACAATTATTTTAGATCCAAAACAGTGGCAGTCTTCTGCCATTGCATTTTAAAGTAATTACTAACAAAAGTAAGACTTTCAATTCTGTATTTGTTGTAAGACAACTCAAATATATTTTCTATTATGATCCAAATATCGAAATCTCAAATATTGTGAAAATATCAATATCTTAATCACCATGTGATAATGTATGCAAATATTTTAATATTTTTGAATTTTCTGGTGTTTTCTAAATGGACCCTAGAAACCATATGTATAAGATCTTTTATCAATTTACAGTGATATTATCTGAAAAGGATATTTTTGAGAACTTTTCTTCTAGTAACATGTGCACTAGATCCATATAATATCTGAAGCCTCCTATCAGGGCTGAACCATGGTATCTCTTGTGCTGATGACAGGCTATGTTATTAAGAATCATAGCACAAAAGACACTGTAAGACACAACTTTCTCATCCCTTTTCCAGGCAAGATGTATTTGTATTGGTGTGGCCAAATGGAAATAAATCCCATTTTGAAGACCTCTAGAGACATCACAGTTGGCAACCAATTCACGGTTCACTGGCCTTTACTGTTAACGGCTCCTTTTCTATACTTTGCCTATGTTGTTCACACTATTATTTCAGCCCATTATCTTCTTCTCTCCTGCTCTAAGTGGTTGTCACAATTGGCTGGCCTCTGTTTATTAGACCTAACCTGAAGATTTCTTAAGTATCTGCTTACCTTACTTGTTTTCTTTGGGTACGTAAAGTCTTTTCCCCCAGCTTTTGTATACTTTTTTCAGACCTTTGTCATCTTTCTGACTCATGTCTTCGTAAATGTGACAAGAACATGGAACAAATCTAAGGTATCTTGTCTTTCTCCTTAATATTCTTCCTACTTCCCCCTCACTCCTTCTCTGTTTTCCTTCTTTCCTTACATTTTCCTCTTAGACTTAAATCTTATTTATACCTGAAGATTATTGTCTGAGCAATGTAAACTTTTACATAATAATTCCATAACATGGAGCCCTTTGATATCACATTAAACAAGGAGTCTTTTAAGTGATTGTACATGTATGTGTGTGTGTGTGTGTGTGTGTGTGTGTATGTGTGTGTGGAGACAGAAAGAAAGGAAAATAGCACACATTGTTTTCAAACTGTTTAAACAGTTATTTATTAAAAGCTATGTGTCCATTATATATTTTTCTGTCTCCTAAGGTTTTCCAGTAGCTATCCTTTTCTTTTAAACCAAAAGACATGGCTGGAGATATCATTCTAATGATAGAGATTCTGTTAGCCAGGAACAAAATCTTCTCTTCCCCAGTAATGCCACTAAAAGGTGGGGGGAAAGATGGACTCAACAGGCATGAATAAATGTTGCCATTATAGAATTAAAACATGTTTTATGAATATATAGTATGTATTTCAGACAAGGCAATACTCCCTCTTACCTCAAATAAGATAGTCTTCATGAAAACGTATGCCCCATATTCAAACTCAGCCTCCTGCAGAGTTCTTCAGTTCTTTACACTTTCTTTTTTTTAAAATAAGGTTTCTAATTGTGAAAATACTGTACAGAGGGGTTACAGTTACATGAGCAAGGTAAGGAGTACATTTCTTATCAAGCATTGTTGCCTCTTCCTTTGTTTTTCTTCTACCATCCATTCCCTCCCACTTCCTCAACTACACCCACCTCCCCACCTAAATTGTAAAGTCCGTTTTTCGACATAGCCTCTTGTACATCTCATTGTTGCAATATGTCAACCTGTATCCCTATTTAAACAATTTGTTTTTTCCCTTCTCCTCCCCAAATTATACCAACATCAAATACAGTGAAAACAGGGGTTATACCATGGGGGAGGGACATAGAAAGCAACAAAGAAATCACATGGTACCTTATAAATACTTTAGAAACAATAGCAGGGAAAAAAAACCACTTGTGCCCTTATCTTGGGGTTCACTTCGCTTAACATCATCTTAAAACCTATCTAATTTAATAAAAGTTGAAACTGTCACTGAAGAAATGAAATCATGTAGCTATTTTTTAAAATGACAGAAAATATGTTTACTTTTTTAAAATTACTTTTTCAAAAATTACTTTCATTTCATAGCTGTTTTATAAAATTTTTAATCATTTCAAATGACAAATGATTACAATTCTGAGACCCTTAGGTGTTTAGATTGCTTTTATTTCAAAAAATTAATAAATAAAGATGCTTTCAATCAGCCTTAAGTTTACTTTGTTATCACCTGTTAGATTTTGTGTGTTTTTAAGACCATAGCTGAATATCCTTCACAATCTTTACTATTCTGAGTTCTTTCAAAACAAATGAAATGAAATCTATGTTTGTCATACGGTATGTCTCTTTTGGAACCCAGTACTCAATGTGAAAATTTGTTCAGAGACCTGACTGAGTCAAAAGCCCTAGAAGGCAGCCTTTTGGTTAGCCCTGAGTGGCCTTGAGAAAGTTATCTATCAATTGCAGAAGAATAAGTTTAGACTATGTGGTTCTCAGGGCTCTTCCAGCACCAACATTTTATAGTTTTATGGTTTTATTAGAGCTAGAGACAGACAGGCCTGTCCTGTTTATTAGCAGGAAGGGAGTTGGGATAGAGTTGCTGTGAGCCTTTAAAGCAGAAAGCAAGTCGAGAATAGATAGAGGCTGAGAAGCCCCCTATAAGCCTGGAACTTGAGACTGCTTTCTTTGTTTCTTTTTGGCATACTAATGGGTCAATAAATGCTCACTCTCTATTTTAGAGAGCAAGAGAAAATTTCTGCAAAAAATATTTTATACTATGTTCTTAAGTATAGACAAAGATAATAATATCTGTGCTTTGGGTAAAATGATTTTTGTAATCATTGGCTTTTGTCTCTATTGAAACTAAAAAAAAATAAAGGAAGGTTAAACTGAAAAGATGGGTTTTCATCTATATAACAGGGATTGTTTCTTCATAGTACTAGTACTACCATGTACTAGTTAAATCATCACTGAAGATAGTCTTTTCAACAACTTCCGATATTGTAGACGTTTGTAAAGCAATTATAAAATATTTTCCAATTATTTGTCATTAATATAAAAATGAACATAAAGTTCTTACATTCAGTCTAAATAAGAAGATTCTAACATTATGGCTTGATTGCTATTAAAACTTATAAGAAAGAAAGGGACATTTGGCATTTTAAAGGATTGGCTTTCTAGTAACTATCTTATTTTTAATATATTGTAATTTTTGACTTATTTAAAACAATTCCAAATTAGAAAATCACTTAAGAGTTATGTATTTGGAGTCTTAATGGTATTACTTCAATGAGATCAAGTTTTTTTACTTAGATTAATCCAAAAAGCAATTTACATACATGTCTTATTGTTTCAAAGGAAAAACAGTAGGCACAGTTTGTCAGATTCTCTCTGTAGTTTCAGAATATCTTCTCATTTAAGAGAAACCAGTATTTTACTCTTTTTTAAATAATTTTATTGTTACTATTAAGCTTTACAGAGGAGTTATCATGAGACATCAGTTTGAGGTAGAAAGAAATATAGCAATGCCTCTTTAATTCTGGTGTTTGGGTTATAGATTTATTTTTTTGACTTTGTAATATGAGTGAATGAAAGATTAGGCTTAATTTTTTTCTTTTAAAGGGAAAATAATTATTTCACACTTTAAAAGCAATATTTGAGTTAAATATATGTCATGAATTACCTTAAAATTTTGCCTTGCTGGCAAAAATCTGCAAGATAATACTTGTTTCTCTTTTATAGCTATCTGACATCACAACAATTCTTGACATTTGTTTAAAGTGTAGGAATATGTACTTAGTCTAATTAATTTTGATTTGGTGAGAGATATGAGAGTTTTTGAGTGATATATATTGTGGGGTTTTACTATGTTGGTATGTTGTTATTAAAAACGTTGCAATTGATAGTTATGTCCTTTATTTCTAAAATTGGGAAACAAAATGATTATTTTCAGGCATTTTATATGTGTATTATGCTTTGAATATTGAGATACCTCAGTGTTGCAGCATTGATATTAATGTCATTTACAATGGATAGAACTATAAAATTTGTCTCTTCTAATTTATTCATATTTTCTGCACATTTACATTAAAACATGCAAGAATCACTTTTCAGTCATTTGCTTACTCAACTTATGATGATAGAGTAGCAAAGATATCTGGTGCTTGTCAGAAATGTAAATTCTCACACCATACTCTTGGCCTATAGATTCATAATGTGTATTTTGAGCAGACTTTGAGGGCTTGTGTATATAATGATTCACATGTTAAAAGTATGTTTAATGAAATATCATTAACAATGTGACACCCCTACAATTAATATGATGATGGAGTTACAGGATTTAATATTCTTCATCTTTAAAAGTGCTCAAACTTTCTTTGTAGGTTTAAGCAGCTAAGATTTATAGTGTGTTTACATTTATTACATGTACAGTAACCTCGCCTGTCCTGTGGTAGCCAAATGTAAAGTTTTATAATTTTCTAGCTATTATGCCTTATGGCTCTGCTATTTAATCATAGCAGTGACTTGAAAATTCATTTCCCCCCAAATTATTCATGACTGTATTTCAAATGCTAACAAATTAATTCATAGATAGTATAAACAATGTATCTAAAATATTAGCTTTTTTAACCTTATATTAAAATAAGGATCATTGTTAAGTCAAATCTTGTTACTTTTTCTTTTTCATTTTCTGTTTCTTTATTTTTATTTATTCCATGTTTTCTTTTTTCTTTGTTTTAGTTGGGTCTGGTAAGTTGACATTTTATTGGCCATCTTCTAATCACCGTGTCACTGTGGCTGGAACTTCTCTTCCCCTTTCCATCCATACCCTTCCATGTCCTCAACCAATCAGCCTCCATGTTTCACTTGTCATTGGCCACAGACAGACTGCACAGAATAAAGTCTGCAGGAACTATGGGTAACTGTGACAAAGAGTAAAGGTAATGGGGTTGCTAACTTTATATATTTTCAAGTCATGTATTATCTGCGTCTTTTAATTCTTCACTCCTGAAATAAATGATAAAATGAGGCCTAGGACTGCATCTTAGTTAAATGATATTTCAATGTATGTCTTCTAAGAGCAATATATATATATATATATATATATATATATACACATATACACATATAATATACACACAATTTGGCTTTTTTCTCTTCAACTTTGGTCATAAATCCTTGTCTGTCTTTTTGTGTACTGGTAGTTCAATAATAGTCATTAAAAGTCTTGTTGAATGAAGCTTTCACATGAAGCTTTTTGTCACTCATTTTCATTTCTCTGTGTTTGACTCATTTCATTTTATGTATGAAATACTACATGGTATATTAAAACTTTATTAAAATCCATTTTGGCAAGCATTTTCTCCTGTACAATTGAAGAGCAATCAGGTTTCTATGCACATACATAGAGGAAAATGCATTTATTAATTCTATATGGTTGTAAGAACACCCTTTTAAATGAGTTTTATATGAATGTGCTATTATGCTAAAAGGTGTGCTAGAAGAAAATTTTCACCCTAAATAGTATCTCTCCCTATTTTTAAGCTAAAAAGATTTACAAATAATACTATAGTATCATCTCATATTAATTCAGATAGAATGGGTTGTTCAACAATCTTGACATAAATAACCAGGTATGTAGCTTCCTATAGTGATATCATAAATAAAAAAACTAGATAAAGCTTTAAAATTAAATAATAAAGACTGTAAATAATAGGATGAAAATGGAGTTGAAAGTTTACATAATATATGACACATCAAAATTAAAATACTGGCAAAAGTGAATTAAAGGACTATAAATTAAATGGAAATGTATTTACAATATACATGCAAAGTGGATAAAATGTGAACATATCAACAGTTCTTTAGGGCTAGGCTGTGTGGCTAAGCTTTAATCCAGCTACTCAAGAAAGTAAGGATTATAAGGTTGGAAGGATTGCAGAATACGGACAGCAAAAATTAGCAAGACACTCCAAGTCAACAGACAAGCATGATGTGATGTTACACATCTGTATTCTCACAAATACACAAGGCAGACGTAGGAGATTCACAGCCCAATGCTGGCCAGGCAAAAATACAAGACCCTATCTGAAAAATAACTAAAAACAAAAAGTGGCTCATCCTATAGAGTACCTACCTAGCAAGTAGCTACCTACCTAAGCTGAAACCCCAGTACAGCAAAAATAATAATAATAACAAAAACAACAACAAAAATTCTTAGAAATTGAAAACACATGAGCATATTATTCAAGAAATTCAGGATATCAATAATGAAGTAATATTAAGAGAAAAATCTATTCTTGGTTTGAATATGTGAATGCATATTGTTTTGAAATTTAGGAGAAAAAAGCAGTCTGAATTAGTGAAAATATAATTTTCCAACATATATTTTGAGCACAATTAACTATACTTTTGGATTTTGTATATTTTGTACATTTTCATATGCTGTAATTTTACTTCTAGAAAATAATCATAAACATAACTGAGGGAACGATAATTCTAGCACTGTCTTTAATAGTGAAAATTAGGAAAATCTAAATTTGTAGGACTGACTTTTGGCTCAAAGCCTCATGAATGCTGAGAAAAATCAAAATTTCAAACAGTAGAAATTGAATGAATTAGGACTGGGAATGTGGTTCAGTGATAGAGTACTTGACTAGCATGCATGAATCCCTGAGCTCACTTCCTCAGTACCACATTAAACAGAAAAAGCCAAAAGTAGCACTGTGGTTCAAGTGGTAGAGTGCTGGCCTTGAACAGAAAAAACTCAGGAACAGTGCCCAGGCCCTGAGTTCAAGCCTCAGGACTAGAAAGAAAAAAGAATAAATAATTTAATTTTATATTGGCCATTAGACAACTAGTAGAATGATATTTTAGCCAGGTACTTTTGGATTATGTAAGTAATCCTAGCTACTCAGAGGGCTAAGCTCTATGAATTAGAATTCAAAACCAGCCCAAACTAAAAAGTTTAGGAGACTTATCTGCAATTATACAAAAATATAAAAGTAGAGCTATGACTTAAGTAGTAAAGAGCCAGCCAGACTTGAGCAAAAACATGAAGTGAAAAGGTAAGGCCCTGAGTTCAAAACCCAGTACCAGCACAATAAATAAATAAATAAAGCATTATTTTAATACAATATTTTAAAATAGTATGATTCCATTCTGAAATACAGGTGGCTTTTCCTTTTGGTCATATTTTCTACATGTTCCACAATTAACATATATGTCACTGGCATTTTTTAATTAGGCCAAGTTTAAGTGTTGTGCTCTTCAAAAAAATCCAATATATCACCACAAATATCAAATAAGTGAATGTGACAAATGATCTTCACAATATAAGATATGTGATGATGACAAATTGATACTGAGAAAAATATTTAGTGCATTTTATTACCTTAGAAATAAAATCTGTAGCCATTTTTTAGTGAAATAAGGTTTCACTATATGGCCCAGACTAGCCTGAGACCACTGATCCAAGTGATCTTCTGTCTTCAGCTTCCGAAGTAGCTAGAACTACAGATGTGTGCCAACATTCAAGTCAGGAGAAGATTTTCCAAAGTGTTCTTTCTAAGACCTATCTTGTATCTGATGTCACTGTTGATGTTGGCCTGTGCATATGCCTAAAAAATATAATAAATTCATTTCCAGACAAATATCCTGTGTGGAAGGATTGCTTCAGGATAAATGTAGTTAGCATAAGGGTTTGTATTCCTTGTTCCCAAATAACTCTTTGAGGCTTGAAGAGTCCTGGCATTTTATAAAAGAAACGGTCTGGCATACATTCTTAGACATGCTCCTGAGATTTAAGCAAGAGACCACCCGAGGTTTTTACTTGACTAAGTGGTTTGAACATTTATACTTTCCTGCTCACATTCCCTTAGTATTGGAAAGTCCTGTTCTCCCACTCATCTAATTAATCATGTGCTTTCCTTGCATTGAAAGAAACCAAACTCTAGTCTGACTTTAGTTTCTTATTCAGTCGGTCTTTTCACTTTCTAGACTGATTTCTGCGTCAATGATTCCATTCCTTGACTTGGAGCAGAGATGCTGTATAGTTCTTTCTGGAGGAAAATCTCCAGGCTATGTTTTACATGCCTATTATGATATCTGGGTAATCATAACGTTTGCTAAATTCATGAGTAAACCACTCAATTGCAATCACAGGATTTTAAAAAAATTATAAGCTGGGACTTCAGTGTTTCCAAATTGAACATAAACTAGGTTTCCTAACTTCATATTTTCTTCCCTGTAAGTTAGAGGACATTTGAAAGCATTTGACCTGATTTTTGACATCTCCTATAATTTTCTAGTCAAATGGTATAATTTTGACTAAACCTTAGTTCTTAAATAAAATAACAGCAGAGAAGAAAGTACACTAACTTAGAATCTAAGATATTTAATTATTTTTTGTAGTTTTGCCAGCATGTAATTAGAGAAAAATCATTTTCTGATTGTGTTAATGTTTTAAAGAATATATATATGATTAGCATATTTATTAAATAGGCTTTTATGTCCTTTTATAACTTAGTTATTCAGATACTCAGAATACAGGACATGAGCAATTTTTGTAAATGTATACAATTTTATTTATTATACAAGTTATACTATACACACAGGTATCTTAACCAGGTATCTTTCTGTTAACTAGCTTTACTAGAAAAAAATGGTATGCTTATTGACAGGATAGTGACGTGGAGATGATCTGAATGTAATTTTTTAATTCCTATTTACTTTACAGAGTTGTCTTAAGCAAGTGACATAAATAACTGAGAGTACTTTTCGGGAAAGGGTTAGAAATAATGGAAGTGTCTTAAAAAGTGGATTAGAAGAGCCCTTTCCTACACAAACTGTCAAATGTCTAGCTTGAAATGTCTCTTCACTTCAGTTGGAAGTGAGACAAGACAGAAATAATTAGGTGTTTCAGACAGGTGATAAGGAACACATTTGAAAAGTGAAAACAGTAGGTAAAAAGACTAACTTTCAGTGCACATTTTTCCAGGGAAATAATCAGCCCCCAAGTAAGTATACACATACACATACACACAAACACACACACAAACACACACATACACACACACACACACACACACACACACACATACCCACACAACCACACATACCCTAAGCCAATATCCCTCCCCATTTTGGCTCCATCAGCAAAGTCATCTAATGTTATCAGCTGCCTCTAAGCCCACTGTAACTGACACAATTTTATGACTTTCTGTTTACTGCTGGGTGAAGTGGCCATTTATGTCTGGATAAATCAAACAGTTTGGGCAAAGCTGGCAATATTTATAATGTCAGGAGAAGCAGATGTTTCAAATTTGCCCTCATTTCCATATATATTCTGTTTGAACATGCCCTTGTCTATGTAAATGAAGGAGCCTGGTGAATCAGTATTGCTTTAAATTCACTTGTATTCAAGTAATGGGACTGGAGGTTTTTAAATGGTTGTCATTTGCATGGTCGTATTTCAAGGAGCTTTTGAGTTAAATTAAGGTAATTTTAGGACCTGTCTGCATTAGGAGGTCCTTGTGTGTATGATTAAAGTTCATTCACCTTTAAGCAGTTCTAAATGAGAAAAGATAATATTTATTCATACAATTTTAGATATATTTTGAGTGTAAGGGGTCAAATTGTAGTTCAAGAATTCTTTAAAATATGAGGGTTAATCCTAGAAGGTCAAGTAATGAGAAATCTTCACAGTGTAGCTCTATTTTATTCTATAAATATACACTTAATTTAACTTCAAATGAAGGCTGAGAATTGGTGCATGATTACAACTGTACATAACGTGGGATAAAACAAAGGCAGCAACTGGAATATCTGAGGACCATAACGACCTGATTTTGATTCAGTGTAATTTGATTCATTTCCTTTAGAACCTCCACATTTTGTTGTGAAACCACGAGACCAGGTGGTGGCCTTGGGACGAACTGTGACTTTCCAATGTGAAGCAACTGGCAATCCTCAGCCAGCTATATTTTGGCGGAGAGAGGGAAGTCAGGTAAAAATCATTCTTTTCTGATTTTTTTTTCAAGCAGCACACATCAGTGCCACATCTAAGAAAAGAATAGTAACAACCCATTAAGAAAATCAAGAAATCTAAAGGCACTCAAAAGTTCCAGCTTCAGAGAAGACAAATATCTCGGTTTTAATCTTCAGAAACGATTTTCTCTGACTCGTTTTGGTATACAGGATTGTATAAGAAAGTTTATCCTTTTATTATATCATTGTCACTTTCATCAAAACTAATTCATATTAACTGAAATCTCTTCTCAACATATTTTAATCATCATTTCTATCATTAATAGTTCTAGAGTTAGACAATTACTTCCTTTCATGTATTTAAAATATTATAATTCAGTGTGATTTTGATAACGCAAGGTCTGAAGTAGCTTTTGAATTCTCAAATTATATCCAACTCTGTTAAATTTTTCTTTTTCAGCAATGTTATATTAAATATAATGCAGTATATTCCATTCTTTAAAAAAATCTATATAACTGTGTGCCAGTAGTTCACACCTATAATCCTAGTTACTCAGGAAGCTAGATCTGAGGATCATGGTTCAAAGCCAGCCCAGGCAGGAAAGTCCGTGAGACTCTTATCTTCAATCAACCACTCAGAAAACCAGAAGTGGCACAGTGGCTCAAGTGGTAGAGCGCTAGCCTTGAGCTGAAGAACTGAGGCACAGCGCCCAGTCCCAGAGTTCAAGCCCCACAACCAACAACAAAAATAAATAAATAAAAATTTTATATAATTGCCATTTGCCATTAAATTCTGTTCTCTAAACATTTTGCCAGTTCCTCTTTACACCTAAACCAGAATATAGCGCTCTGTATTTGTTAAATTCTATGGGACTTCAGTTGAATAAACAAAAAGTTTTAAACTAGTTTAAAATGTCTTTTTTATCTCTTATCTTAGGATTGTTCTTCTTCTATGAAGGAGAATAATTACCTTTACAATACAATTATTCTTGACCTCATTTTATATTTGCCTGACTCGGTCTTGAGTGTTTCATGGTTTTGCTTTGAAAGCAGTTTCATCAAGAGCCAACACGGGGCCTGAGGCTCACACCTGTAATCATAGCTACTCAAGAGGCTGAGATCTGAGGATCATGATTCAAAGCCAGCCTGGGCAGAAAAGTCGATGAGACTCTTATCTCAAATGAACTACTCAGAAAAGCCAGTTGTTGCTTCTGTGACTCAATTGGTAGAACAATAGCCTTGCTGGGCACAAAGAGGCTCAGAGACAATGCTCAAGCTCTGAGTTCAAACCCAAGGACCAGGAAAAAAAAATGTTAGCAAAACCATCAATTCAATTCTGTTTTTAGTGTAGTTAACTGTCAATTTGACTAACTTAAATCCATTGTCATTTCAGTTCTAACATATTGGCAGTATTATATTTTATTGTGCCTCACTGAAGAAAATTTGCTAAAACTAAATTAAAGATAAAAGAAACAAGAATATTTTACTAAAACAAGAATATTAGAAGTGAATTATGGAAGAATTCTTTTTTTATTGTGAAAATACTGTACAGAGGGGTTACAATTACATGGGCAAGATAATGAGTACATTTCTTATCAAGCATTATTGCCTCCTCCTTTGTTTCCCTTTTCCATCCCTTCCCATCCTCCCTCCACCCCCCCACCCAACCCTCCCCCCCACCAAAGTTGTAAAGTTCCTTTTTCCACATAACGACTGTACATCTCATTGTTACAATGGGTCCACCTGTATCCCTATTTAAACGATTTGTTTTTTCCCTTCCCCTCCACAAATTATACCGACATCAAATACAGTGAAAGCAGGGGTTTATACCATGGAGGAGGGCTATACAAAGCAACAAAGAAATAATCTTATAAATGTGTTAGAAACAATCACCTGAAAGAATAAAAAAACATTTGAATACATATCTTAGGGTTCATTTCCCTAATGTCAACTTATCTGACCTTTTCTGCTTGACTCAGACATAGACTAGTTATTGCAAATAAGGGAAACCATGGGACCTACATTTCTTTGGGCCTGGCTTACTTCACTTAATATAATTTTTCCAAGTCTTTCAATTTCCTAACAAATGGGGCAATGTCATTCTTTCTGATGGAAGCATAGAATTCCCTTGTGTATATATACCACATTTTATGGAGGTTCCTCAAAAGACTCCACATAGAGCTCTCCTATGACCCAGCAATCCCTCTTTTGGGCATTTACCCAAATGATCACAAACAAGACCATACAAAAGCTACCAGCACAACTATGTTTATTGCAGCATTATTTACCATAGCTAAGATATGGAATCAATCCAGATGTCCCTCAGTAGATGAATGGAAGAATTCTGTATAACAAGAATAGTAAACAATTAAAATTATTTCCTAATATACCTAAACTCAGATTTCCTAAATTATTCCTAAATAAGTAATTTAAATTCTAGATCAGTCCTCAGTTTATTTATTCATTTATTTTTGTGTATGGCTTAAACTCTTGGCTTGGGCACTGTCCCTCAGCTCTTCAGCTCAAGGCACCACTTGAACCACAGTGCCAATTCTGGTTTTCTGGTAGTTAATTGGAGATAAGAGTCTCCAAGCTAGCTTTCAACCGTTATCCTCAGATCTCAGCCTCCTGAGTAGTTTGGATTATAGGTATAAGCCACCTGTGCCCAGCTCTCAGTAAATTTTGTTTGCTAGTTTGGGCTTAACACTTTTTCACTGAACATATATCCATGGAGGTCTAGCTAAACCTTGTATTTATGCTAATGATATGTGCTGCAAATCACCAAAATGAAACAACTCTATTTAAGAGGCAGATCAGTATTCTTTATTTCATGACACACAATGGCATTGTGCAGTATTTCACATGATCCTCTAAGCTCCAACAATCAGGATATTTTTATTCAATTCAATCTGAGATTTTTCAAAAAAAAAGCCTATAGGTATTCTCACCTTTTATGAGGAAAAACAAATATATCCCTCTAAATTGATGGGTAAATGTTCCTGAATATTTGTAATGGATTGCCAGCAGAGATGCTTATTCTGGTGCCACAGTGACATCCTTGAACTTAATTTATCAAAATGATTTATATTTTAATTTGGCAACACTAGTAGCCATAAGCATATTGAGCATGCATTTTGTCATGATTTTCTTAAGCATGTAAATTTTGTACTCTAATAATTATAACATAATATATTACTGAGATTGATATAATTATAGGACCTCATTAAAGTTTGAACATTATCTTCTGTGTGCCTAATATATATTTTTATATGAACATACCTGTATGTGTAGTTGACAATGGAAGATACTTAGTTTACTTTTGTTTGTATATTTGTGTGTGTGCATGAATGTATTTTTACACATTTATTTTTAAATGCATTTTTAGCTCTGCCAAAATACTGTAACCTAGCCCTTAACCTATTCTTCTTCCTTCCTCCCAAATTTTGGGTTTTAGAACCTTCTCTTCTCATACCAGCCCCCACAGTCTTCCAGTCGATTTTCAGTGTCCCAGACTGGGGACCTCACCATTACTAATGTCCAGAGATCAGATGTCGGGTATTACATCTGCCAGACTCTAAATGTTGCTGGAAGCATCATCACGAAAGCATATCTGGAAGTGACTGACGGTAATGTATAAAAATTTGGTTCAAATTATCCACATTTCTTAGGACTAAGATTGCCAGAAGATGTTATTTGTCTCAAATTTTCATATTCTTCCTTATAGTTATTTTGTATACTAAGGGGAATATTGCTAAGTCAAAAATTATTACTTTAATGCAACATTTCTATAAATTTCTAAGATCATTCAGGTTTACACTATCGTGGCAACTACATAAAGTAAACTTTATAGTGAATTTAGTGCATATCTCTATATAGGAATGTTTATCATGTTTTGGAAATGTGATGCGTGTTAAAATGTATTTTAGTTTAAATTATCATTTATTCTCTTGCTTCTAAATTATATATGGCAAGATTATTTGGTCATAAATTCAGTGACAACTCACAACCCATGTGAATAAGTGTACTTTTCTAAATAATCTGATTTAATATTTTTTATAAATGCCTCTAAACATTATCACTTAATACAAATAGAAATATATTGTAGAGACATGATAATATCATCACTTAATACCAAGTATATTGTAGGTGGACATTCACTATGGAGATCAAGAATGTAATGACAACACAATTTGGGAAGATGCAAGAGAAGAAAAAGTTGTATATACACAGATATATATTTCTTTATGTGTATTTATGATTAAAGAGTAGTCTCTAAACATATTATAAGGAAATACCAATAATATATAAAATGTACACATGTCTATATAATTATTCCTATAATAAAAAATACCTACACTCAAACAAAAATATATTTCAGGTAGTTATAAGTATATTATATATTTCTATAATTATGCATGTATGTTTGTGTGTATGTATAATCAAGAAAAGTATGACAGCCTACAAATTAAAATTATGGTTAAAAAATAATAGTGATAAAGTGTTGGTTGCTTCTAAAAGTAAATTCATTGAAGAATTCATAGAATAATCTCACAGGTATGACCCCATTGGTTCAAAATAATGTAAGTGCCATCCATCCATGTGTACTGTGCATTTGTTTTAGTGCTGTGTAATATTCTATTGCATAAATACACCAAAATGTATTGAGGTTTGAATTCAGGGCCTGTGCTGTCCCTCAGTTTCTTCTCATGTGGCTGATGTTTTATCACTCAAGCTTTGCTGCTATCTCAGATTGTTTTGCTGATTGATTGGAGACAAGAATTTCTTAGCTTTGTTTGCTTGGGCTGACTTCAAACCTCAGTCCTCAGATCTCACCTTCCTGAATAGTTACGATTGTAGGCATTATCTACTCCTTCTCAATAAATTTTATAATAGTAAAACAAAGATTTCTACCTTCCAATCAACATATAATGACTTTTAATTACTTGTACTTTTGAGACTAAATCTTGCAGAAAACTGTTAATAGGAACTTTTAAGCATCCCTAAATTTGTGAATGCCAGATTCAGGCCTTGTAATCAATTCATTCCCAAGTCCCAAATGTCAGGTTTTCCTTTATTATTTCAGAGAGAAGTGACTGGTAGAATTCAGGTACTTTTGTACTTACTATTTTGGTATTATATTTTTTCTGTTTTCTTTGTTTTGAAATGTATTGATACTGTTCAAACAACTTACAAGCATGAACTCAAGTTTGATAGATAAGAGTAGTTATTGTGAGTGCTGGCAGCATCAATATTTTTGTATTACTGAGTCTGATCCAAAGCAGGACTAGTAGATACAGAGTATGCCCTTGATAGTGGGTGATGTCAGCATCTTGACCTTCTTTATCGTTTGCAGACAGAACAAAGGGAATGGCAGAATAAAAGCTGAAGCGCAGGAGTAGCAGCTATCTTTAAAATGTTTCTCCTCTGTAATTGTGGCTAAACCCTAAGAGTATTTGACCCAGGAGCATGAACATTATGTCCACTTCATTGAAAAATATCTAGTCTCTTTATTACTAGAATCTATGAAAAATAAAGTTAGTGAGTTTTAAATGATGAATAAAATTTAAAATTATTTTGTGTTCATCTTTCAGCACCTATAGATTTATAATGCATTGATCACACATTAGACCCTGAGGAGATCTTGGATATTTATTTAACTTGATGAAACAGATGTAAGCCCCAATATTTTATTTAGAAAAGGAAGATTTATAGTTGCTGTTTGATTTGGAGACGTCACTTATTTCCCAGGTTTAATTCCTCAATTTTTAAAAGTGAATGATAATCTTTTGTAGCCCAACTCAGAGATTTGCAAAATAAGATCCTTGAAACCAGTTTGCAAATGGATGACAATTGAGATGTATTACTCTGATGTTCAGTGATTCATAGATATGAACTTTTCATACATGAACCTATGTGTATGCACTTTTGTGTTCTTTCTCACTTGAAATTCCTTCATAAATATATTTAAATCAAATCCATTACTTCTTTCTGGTAACACAGCATTATATTCTAATGACATTATGATATAACTTCACCATAAGATATTTACATCTTTCACTGAATGTGGAGAATAGCTAGGTGATTTTTGTTTGTTTGTTTTTATGAAAATTGCAGTAACAGACGACTCCACTTGTTCAACTCCACTGTTGCAGCACATTACCATTCTACCAATATTGCACCTATACTTAATGATAATGAGTTAGGGTTTCTCAATGTTTAATTAGTTCTAGACACTGTGCTAAGAGACAATTACATATGGAGAATGTCATTTGACAATACTTCATTTCACTGAGGAGTATAACGAAAGAATAGTGAAGAGCTATAAGGAGATCTGAGATTTAAAACTTAAATCTGTACCATCCAATAGGGTAAGCTTTTTCACTTTGGGGCTTTTAAATTTGGATTTCAATTATTTGTCATCAATTATAAGCTCACCACTAGTTTTGTAAACATCCTAGCAATACTAGTGTACTCAGTATATACTATAGCTATTGCCTATGACGCGAACATATCCACTGAACAGCACAATGTATTTCTGACTTCAGAAATGACAGTGATTGCTCACTATCATATTTCATTTTAGTCAGTTTAATGTGAATTATTAGAAATTTGAAATTTGTCCTATAAATCTAAGTTTAGAATGGACTCATGTCTTTAGTATTTCATGTTAATCAGTGATAACACCATGGTTTTATTTACTTAAAAACAAAATTGCTTAAATAAATTCTTATAACTTTCAGCTCTGATATACTTTATAGCTTGTCATACATGTGCCCAAATATTATCATAATATAATAGCCTTTTCCAGTGATTCTATCAAGCATTTATTTCCATCTTCATACCACCCAGTCTTTGGTGTTAGTTTGAACAAGTCTTGCTATACACAATTCACAAATTTAAAAAAAAAAAGCAAAAACAGGTGCATGAAAGAACCCATCTGAAGTCATATGGTATCTATCTAGTGAGGAATATGCAGAAATAAACGAGAGGTCAGCTCCATCAATGAACTGGGTTAGGATGGCATTGGGGCTGGAGATGTGGCCCACACAAAGCCATGCCTCACACACAAAGCTCTGGTTCTAGTCCACAGTACACAGCATAAGAAATAGATATCAAATAGGAAGATGAAGTGTATATGATGCGAACTAGGATACCATGTAAAGAAATGAAGCATACAGAAAACCCAAGAAATCCCCAGGTATTGGGTAGTATCAAAATATAATAAGACTATAAAACATAAACCATGCCTGTACTCATTTTAATTGCAACCAATTATGATAAGTCACTGTAACTAATTTAATTAATGCCTGGAAATATTCATACATATTTATTCATTCTTATAATCAAGGAACACAGGTGTTCTTATGAAATCCCAATGCAACCTAGGTGTTCACATGTTTTATCATACATATCAGAAGGGACTTGTAATTTGATTTTAGCAAACCTCAACAGAAAAGGTTTAAATATGCTAAGCAGAGGAATTACAGGCTTACACTTTTCAACTATGTAGTATCTTAAAACACGCCAGCCAAGTTTCCACATCCAGCCTTTTTCTAATACACTCCATTGAACTAGAAAATTTCAGACCAATGATGAAGGCCCAGAGGAGAACTATAAAAGCAGAGTACAAATTAAACCATTTCGGGAATTCACAATTTTAGTAATTATTGGATGATAAATAAGGAACAAATTAAAATGAGACTACAGCTTGTAAAAATCTCTGATGCATACAATTTTGAACTTGTCACATCCAAGATTTGCAAATGGTTCCATCTAAAATTTAGCTTCCTTTAAAAAGCTTACTTTCTAAGAAAACATCTTAGAAACTTCACTTCTACATTTGTGTCTTATTTTTTTATCTTAAAATTGATGTCCAGAATTTTAAACATTAAGAATTGAAGAAAATACTTGAAATGCTATTTTTGTTTTTGTCTAGTTCATTAAAAATAAATCTACACAGTTTTACATAGACAGCCTAAATCTGGGATTGAGACTATCTTTTTAGTGCAGAGCTTAGTCTGTGTTCCTGTGCTTGTTTTAGATTTTTCCCTATAAAAATGACTTTATCTCAAAGTTTTCAGGTTTTTTAATTTTTATATAATAAGATGTTATTATATACTAATAGTCTTTCATTGTTACTTTTTGTAGTTCATTATCATTAATAGTTCGTTATCATTATAGGGAAACAGAATTAGCAAAAATGCTTCTCCCCTTGTTTTTAATTTCTGCATGGGAGTATGGTATTTGCGCAATTTGGACAACATCTTCAGCTGTCTTTTGGGATCAGCCTACCAGTGATGAATCTGGGCATTTTTCCAGCTTCTTTGAATTCATTATAATTGTGTAAATTTCACTGCAGAATATTTTAATAGAAAAAATCCAAGATTAAAAGACACAGGAAATTCAGTCTTATTGATGTGTGTAAATGAGTCTGAATCACCATTTTTAATTCAGAATTGTCAAACATGTTGGCATGGTACCATCCAGTTATTAATTGGACACAAAGTAGTAATGAGATGTGAGGTTGGCTTTGGTTCATTCATTAAAATTTGCCTCACACATTTTTTTGTGTGATAAATGTTTTTGTTTTTTCTGTTAGGTTTCTCATGTTTCCATTATTCCATTCCCAATCCTGGGTATCTGTGTCAGCATCTGAAATCTTACCTTGTTCCTGAACTCTTCAGCAGGTCCCTTGATAGTGCAAGCAAGCTTGCTGAGTTAGTGAACAGTCACTTGAAATGCATACATAATATCTCACTTTAACATTCTGAATCAATGCATCCTATAGATGCATTCTGAATAATGCATGTCTCCTACTAAAATTACTAACTTTAATTATCATTAGTTTGTTTCGAGCCTACAGCAACTGAACTGCTGTTACTTGGATGATTAGTAAATTGCTTCCAGTTGCAGAAATCTATTTCCTGTTATTTTCTCTGGCAGTGATTGCAGACCGCCCTCCCCCAGTCATTCGACAAGGTCCTGTGAACCAGACTGTAGCTGTGGATGGAACTTTAGTGCTCAGCTGTGTGGCCACAGGCAGTCCAGTGCCCACAATTCTGTGGAGAAAGGATGGAGTCCTGGTTTCAACTCAAGATTCTCGAATCAAACAGCTGGAAACTGGAGTGTTACAGATCCGATATGCTAAGGTAATCACATCCTGAGCTTTGGGTTTCCTTTGACTTTGTTTTTAGGTCTATCTGTTAGCGTTGCAATCTCTTACCTTTAACAAAATATACTCGATGTATAGATCATGTAAAATATTTTCTAAGTTGCTGCATTATTTGCAGACTTTCCAATGTATGTGTTTGGGATGATTTAACTCAACACTTAGCCCATCACAAGTAATTTTGAGCTCTATGGAGCATTCTCAGACCTACTTCCTAAGAGAAAAATAAGTATCAGCACACCTCTCATTCCTTAATCATAGTCATGCTCAAGTACTCACTCTCCTTTCTAAAAGTGGCATGATATAGAAATGTTATAAAACATCCAAGAAAATTATTTCCAGTAACATGCATTATGTTCAGTGTACTTGGACTCTTAGTAATGTGAATATATATTTCTGCAATGACAAGATATTCTACATGCAAACCAAAGCATAGCAATGTACAAACTGAATGTATTTTTCAAATGGGAATGTTAAGTGAAAAGTTCATAGGTTTCCTGTGACAGTTTAGAGATTCACCTTCCCAGGGCATCACATCTCCTACCTGTTCTTTCAAGACTATGTGGTTTTGTTTTGCTTTTGCTTTTTTATTTCTAGGTCAAGCTCAGACAAGCTCCTGAGGCATGTGAAAGAACTGTCTTGACAGCAATAAACATAAATTCCAATGGCTTTATTGCTTCTTGTGGGTGGCTTCCTTGGAGTTTTGGATCAGCCTCATAGCTCTTATGTGCTACAAAAGTTGATACCTTGTACTTCCTTGTGGCAACTCCTGTGACTTTTCTCTTGCAATTGCTAGAGCAAGATGACAAGATTCTTGCTTTATCAAATGTTACTTAGAGATAGAGTTATTAGATAAAGAAGGGCCATGTGGGTTTATTGTGCTGCTAATGATTTAGAAGCAGAATTACAGTCTTTTTATTTTTTTTGGCATTCAGTCTTCAGAAAGGAGAGAGAGTATGTATTCCCACAAGGGCTTCACCTTATACTTTGTAGACTGCTTTTAAGTTTTAGGATAATGAAATGAGAACAAAGGGTGAGTCCTGTCAGAATAAATTCTTTTCTCCCTAGGTCATGTATTGCTACAGTAAAATGCAAAATGAGTCTTCTTATGTAGCATACTAAACATAAAGATATAATTGAGATTATATCCAATTTATAAAGATATCCTTTAGAAAGATATATCTTTATAGTTTATATCTGTGTAGATCTCTATATCTTTATATCTTGCAATACATTTGCCAATTGAGGGTTTTTTTTCCCCCTTCTTCTTCATGCAGTATTTTCCTTCACATAAATAAAAATCCATTCAATTCAGGTTTCTGGTTAGCGAGTCTTAAGTGTAGTTATCCATATTCATGGGCCATATACAAACCTGTAATTGCTTTTCCAGCCCAGTAAGCTCTTGATCGTTCCAAATATTTATTTTTCGTCTGCCATTGCAGCTGGGTGACACTGGCCGGTACACCTGCACCGCATCAACCCCCAGTGGTGAAGCAACGTGGAGTGCTTACATTGAAGTCCAAGGTAAATTGGTATTCTTGCCTTAAAATAAAGCAGTAATGAATAATGAAGTAAATGTCCTGTCCATGAGAAGTATGTGAATGTGTTACCTACACCTATGTGCTTATCGCTATATGAATAAATACCTTTTGTGTGTGTATTTTCTTCCCTTACTTAGAATTTGGAGTTCCAGTTCAACCTCCAAGACCCACTGACCCCAATTTAATCCCCAGTGCCCCTTCTAAACCTGAAGTTACAGATGTCAGCAGAAACACCGTAACTTTATCATGGCAACCAAATTTAAATTCAGGAGCAACACCAACGTCTTATATTATAGAAGCCTTCAGGTAGTGGAAAGAAGCTCTTCCTAGTTTTATTATTATCATTTGTACTACTGACCATTAAATGTACATGTTCTAACTTGTATATCTATCCTTAGCCATGCCTCCGGTAGCAGCTGGCAGACTGTGGCTGAGAATGTAAAAACAGAAACATTTGCCGTCAAAGGACTCAAACCTAATGCAATTTACCTTTTCCTTGTGAGAGCAGCTAATGCTTATGGAATTAGTGATCCAAGCCAAATATCAGATCCAGTGAAGACACAAGGTAAATATTTAACAGCTTAACCTTGAGACACTTACCTATTCTTAAAGGTTGCAATTCTGTTGGTGCATCATTTGTTCTATATGCTAGGATTGTGTGTTCATAGCCTCCTCTTACTATTTAATTCACAAATACAGTATCTACAAACTTTTTCATTATTCTCTGGACTGAGACTACAAGCATTTGATCACACAAGAATGGCTTGTCATAGAAATCACAAGGCCACTAAGGCAAAAATGCTATGTGAATATTTCTGTGTGTGGTGATTTTTAAAAATAAGTTTATGTGCATATAATACCTAAGTCACATTGTAATTGTATTTAAAATTGAATAAATCTTATTCATGTTTCAGTTCAGTGTTAACAAAATTCTGAGAGAATATTCAGAATCGATGCCTAGAATTATTAAAAGCAATACTGTCAAAATTACACAAATGTAAGAAATAATTAAAGAAATAAGAAATAATGTTTTATCCCTGTTCTCAGCCAACCTCCTACAAAACATAACAAAAATACATGTCATTGTGTTCTTTGACTTGTTTCAGCATTTTTAATTATGTGAAGAAGGATATAGGAAACTTTTAAGTGGAAATCACCTTCTGTGATTTAAGTTGACCTTAATCATCACTTTGTTCAAAGTTCATGTGAAGAAACAGATTAAAAAATAGATATGTTTAAAGCTGCTTTTAAAATATTTAAATCTGGAAGTATATTACTTTGGACTACTTTTTTGAATATATTACCTTTACCTTTAATGAATAAAAATTGTTTTTATCTTTTGACAGATTATTTTCTCAGTTATATTTGCACATTCTATCATTTTAATGCCCTCAAGGTGGTAAACTTCATTATGGTACATTGAAAATATTATCCAAAATATACTGTAATGATTAATGTTAATCATCCCTTAACTTTTTGTTACCCTAATATCATAATAATTAAAATGAACTTGTTATAATTTCACAGAATGATGATTCTAGAAGGTATTATCTGGAAATATAAAATTATTCATCCAGCTGGGTGCTGGTAGCTCAATCCTGGGAATCCTAGCTACTCAGGAGGCTGAGAGCTGAAGATTGCAGTTCAAAGCCAATCCAGGTAGCAAAGTCCATGAGACTCTTATCTCCAATTAACCACCAGAAAACTAGAAGTGATGCTTTGGTTCAAAGTGATAGAGGAGAGTACTAGCCTTGAGCAAAAGAGCTCGGGGACCGCGTCCAGGCCCCCTAATGCAAGCCCCATGACCAACAAGAACAACGACAACAAAATTATCTGTCCAACAATGCAGGAATCCTGTATCTCTGTTGACTTAATATTACCAGAGGTAAAGCTGTAAATTAGTTATAAGTTGTACCCAAGGTCAGTGAGAGACTTAACATTTTTCCTGGCTTCTTATCTAGTCCTTTCTATCGCAGTTTAAAATAATCTTTTGGGAAAACCTTTTTTTGTGTATCAGAATTTACAGAGAAAGCAAGATGCCAAGTTATAGAACATGCCCACATCTGTCTCTTGCCGTGTGAACTCAACACACCCATACGCTGATATTTGCTATTATGAGTCACCTCGTCAGGAGCATTAATAGACTTAGATGGAGCCCGCCGCAAGGCAATTTGAGGTTTTCAATATTAGATACGCATTAGCAAAGAATGCAGAGGCTAGAACAGCTGAAAAGTAGATTGAAACTTGTGTTCCCATTCCAGAGGTCTATATCTACCCTGTGGAGTGTGAGTCGTGATTACTACTTAGAGATGCTCTGGCCTCTACTCATGTGAATGGTTTTGTAATCTGTGACCTCATCTGTACACGAGGAAGAATGAATGTTTCCTCTGAGCACTAAGTAGTTGTGATTTTCTTTTTAAGTTTATTCTTCTCAGAAATAGCTTGTGGAGCGACCTAAGTGAAATGATCCCATCTTAGGTAGAAGACTGAGTGACAGGAAAACAGGCACTCGAAATAAGAAGCCAGCTATTTTTAAGTCAAAGAAATTTTCATCTCTGCTCTTGAGTCTACAAGTTATGTGCCATTAAGTTAGTCTTTCTGAGCTTAAAAATTAGGCTAAATCCATTCCTCAGGATGGACACGGGTACAATTAGTATATGAGTATGTAAGATCAAATCCCTTACTATAGTTCTAGACTAAAACTAAAAATGTTCATAAAACTTGCAAGTATTATATAATGAAGATAGGCAAGTAAGAGCCAAGTGAGAGTAGCAATTAAAAGCTTCTTGGCAACCTGGAATGATGAGCCCACACTAACAAGATTAAAATTAATAGAGCAAATTTTAAAACCTGGTACTTCAAGTGAGGTTTCAAAATTAATTATAAAATGGTAGGCTCAGAACACTAAAGTTTAATGGGAGGAAAAATGTTTGCTTGTGAAGCTCGAGGAAGTGGGTAGACTTGGGTCTCCAAGTCAATTAAATCACCTATGTAAACTGAGGGTTATAGTTATCAAAAAAATCCACTGTGTTGCCTTTGCTAAGATGAACAGAATTATGTATGGATCGAGGAATCTTAACCCCTCTGCTCAAAACTGGTCACATCATGAATGAGTAATGTGATTGTGATAAGCCTATATTTTTAGATGGACTGTAAGACTGTGGTGTGTACTGGAAAGCGAACCCATGGTTTTACACATGGTAAGCAAGTGCTCAACATTAAACTTCAATAAAGAAGATAGCAGCCAAGGCTACTATTTTCATAGGGAAGTAAGAATAAAAATTTGGATATATCGTCTATCCCCAAAAAATTAAATTTGAAAGAAGCATGATATCTTTTCTAATCATTTATAGTGATTTCCATATAGAACACATATGCCATATCTAACTCCAGCCAATAGAAAAGGACCAAATATTAGAAGTAACTGAGGCATATTCCATTGTTTAATTTTCAGGCTGTCTTTCACACACTATATAGTCCAGCTGAGGATCATGATCATAATGTGAAAAAAACACCTGAAAAAATAATCTCATTGGAGGCTGCAGATAAGTCATAAGAGGGAAAATCAGGGCTGGAGAAAATTCAGGAAAGGCTTGTTAGTACACTCACAAGGGACCACACAAAATTGTATTACCTGTTTGGGAAATATGACTGTAAAAATGTCTTCTCCACCTGGAGATTTCTAAATGTGAACAGGTAACAAATATTAAATGTTTGGGTTCAGAAGTCAGGAGACCTTTGTCTCTAAGATAAGATCTGATAACAGGATGGAAAGAAGTTGCATATCTGAATAGCTAGAGGCCATGGTTGTTATGGTTACCATGTAGAAGTGGCTATAGTCAAAACTATCATACATCTATATCACCCGTCCTTGCCATATTTTTGAGACCAAATTTTAAAGGAAATATTCATGTGCATAGAATGCAACTGAACATATGCTATATGTAAAAGATATATTATTTATTATATATAATGAGTTATGTATGGGGGCTTCTTCACTTATGTTTAGGGGCTTCCAGGATTGGAAACATAACTGGATAGAGCACTAAGATTTCCTATAGGTCTAAAGACTCTATCTTATTAGATGTTTCTTTAGGAAGAGAAGAACAATAAAAGGATTGATTTGTAAGCTTCTTACATCTATATGTCCTGCTACTCAAGAGGATCCCTATTTGAGGTCAAACAGGGCAAATGTTAGTGAGATTTCATCTCAATTAAGAAGCAGAACATGACAGTACATCCCTGTCACCCCAGGCATGCAGAAGGCCTGGGGGAGAGAATGAATTTTGACACTTGCTCTGGGAAGGATCACAAGACCTATTTGGTAAACCAACTAAACACCATGCAAACAAAAAGAATCCTGTACTCATGGCTCAAGTGGTAGCGCATCTGCATGACAGATGATAGGTCCTGCGTTCAAACCCCAATACCACCAAAGCAAAACAAAAATTACACCCAGTAGAGGAATGAATCTAACACTTCCCTGTATCATCAAAGAAGAGATGAAGCACGCTCCTTTCCCTGTTTGCTGTTCTCTGGCTGTATCTCCACTCTTTTCCAGTCACTTGGTCTGTAGCGCCTCAGTCCTTCCTTCTTGGATAGTTAGGGTCATTACAGAATCTCACAGTCCACTATGAGAGGGCAGGCCTCGTGTTCTTATTACATGAAGGTAACATTCTTCAACCTTAAAATTACCATGGTTATCTTTGCTTCTGCCCTTTGCACTTTTACCAGCCCCTCAGCCCCTCTCTCTTCCACATCAGTCTTTCTGATTCTTATTGAACACCTTAAATTCTTCTACTGTATCACAGCATGGCCTCATAGCCCCGGTACTGTCCTCCCTGAGAACTGCTCTGAGTGATAGGATCATTTCACCAGCTTACATTCCACGCAGGGGCATGGTGTAGACTCTCACACTGTTTGGTGAATTGTTACAGATGTCCCACCAACAAGCCAAGGCGTGGACCACAAGCAGGTCCAGCGGGAACTGGGGAATGTCGTCCTGCATCTCCACAACCCGACCATCCTCTCCTCTTCCGCCATTGAAGTACACTGGACCGTGAGTGTTGCAGCATTTGATCATAGTTTTAACATGGAGGTGACCATTGTGTGTGTGTGTGTTTGTGTGTGTGTGTGTGTGTGTGTGAGTGTGTTTGTGTGAAATTTAGCTATCTGTTCACTTCAACAGCAGTAATAACTTCATTATGTGAGCACTATTTATAATAGTCGCTACTTTCTTCTGGTGTACATTTGTTCTATGATGCCGAACCAATGAACGTTCATGGAAAGAAACTAAGTGTTAACTATGAGGCTGTCCTTGACAATAGGCTCTTTCTAACAGATTTATAAAGCTTAAAACTACTTTATATTACTTGTAAAACTACTTAAAAATAATCAAAAGCAGTAACCACATCCCTTCTACCCTTATGTATATCTTAGATAACAAATCTTAATATTGCCACGATGCCTCATGTTTCTGCACAAAAATGAGAGATTAATTCATAGAAACTCATATCAACTTACATACTCTGTGTGTGTGTGTGTGTGTGTGTGTGTGTGTATGTGTGTAGGCATTCTGCATATGTAGCCTATCTATAGCCTAGACCCCAATGGAATATTTTCACATTTTTCTGGCTTAACTTTTAGCATTTCCCAGCAAAGCAGTGAAAACATCTGAATGCTTACGTTTGTGTTTGCTTTGTTTTGGTTTTTGTTTTTTAATAGGTGGACCAGCAGTCCCAGTACATTCAAGGATATAAAATCCTCTACCGGCCATCTGGAGTCAGCCATGGCGAGTCGGAGTGGTTAGTTTATGAAGTGAGAACACCAACCAAAAACAGTGTAGTCATCCCTGACCTCAGAAAGGGTGTCAACTATGAAATCAAAGCTCGCCCTTTCTTCAATGAATTTCAAGGAGCCGATAGTGAAATCAAATTTGCCAAAACCTTAGAAGAAGGCAAGTATGGTGAAGGGCCCACTGTATTATCTTTATTTGGCTCTTATTACCTTAACTGGAGTGGTGCAAACAAGTTTAGAGAGAAATTAGTTATTAACTGCCTTTCTGTGGAACATTATATATTGCTATGAGAAGTTTTGTAATTAGAACAGCTATAAGAAGCACCTAAATTCTATGATTGACCTCTTTCAGTCATGACCTGCAAGTAAAATAATGTGCACATGAGGACATTATTGCTTAAGAGCATATATGGGGTGTGATGAGTTATTCGGAATGAAAATTTACATTTAAAGATGGAAATTTTTTGGTTTGCTTGCTTGCCTTTGCATTCATAGAATATTAAATGAATGATTTGTAACTCAGAAGAGTCATACTTCTGTTTACCCGGGACTTTCCAAAGTTAGCATTTCTCCTTTTGCCCCATGCCCTTGAAAACCCCGCAATTCTGGGTAATCCAGAATGACTGGCCAGACTATAACTGGAAATTAAAATACCTTATTTGCATAAATATAAGGAAATTGTTTTGTACCACAGGTATCTTCATTAAAATGACAGATTTTTCCCTAATATAAATTTCTGTCCTACTATATAAAATGACAATACATAGTTAGTGTTATAAATGTTTAGCTTTCTTCTCTAATGCCTTTGAATCTTTTTAAGGGGAGCATGATGTGGTTTTGTGATGTGATATTTTGTGCAGACAATCTTTATTAGTTTTGGAAAATTTGCAGTCACACTAGTTTAGCATGACTTAGGTAAAGCAAGTAAATTGGGGCTATTCAAGCTTAGATAAATATACATATTTAAAATATACATATATACACATAATGTTTACATAGTTTCATTTTAAATATTAACTATAATATTTGGTAATAATCTACTTTTAATACAATTTCTAGCCCCAAGTGCCCCACCCCAGAGTGTAACTGTTGCAAAGAATGATGAAAATGGAACTGCAATCCTTGTCAGCTGGCGCCCACCTCCAGAAGATACCCAGAATGGAATGGTCCAAGAATATAAGGTAACATAGATATGCTAATTTACAGTAGACACACCCCTCTATACCATCACAACCACCTCTACTCAAAAAGAAAACCAAATCTGGATACATTGTTTGCAGATATTTGGCGCCATCTGCTGGTTCTACTGCCAACTTGTAAAACTAATTTAAAAGGCCTTTCTACTGTTGTGATCCTAGAGTAATTTTCTTCGTTTAAAAGCCAATCATTTAAAAGAATTTAAGGCCGTCAAATAATTTGTAATTTCATCTAGTTTTACAATGATCACAAATTTAAATGCTAATCAATTTTTCTCCCTAATACATAGCTTAAAAATAACCACAATTGCTCTCTTGCTCTTCTTTTCTGCTCTCTCTCTCTCTGCTCTCTTGCTCTTCTTTTCTGCTCTCTTGCTCTTGCTCTTCTTTTCTATTCTAGCTCTCTCTCTGCTCTAGCTCTTTCCTCTCTCTCTCCTCTCTTTCCCAGCCACGTGGAGTGCCAACCTTGCCTGGCCCCAGCAGGTCTACCCCTTACCTGAATACCACGTGAGTGCTACTGTTCTTACCCCTCTCTCTGCTCTTTTCTGGCTCTTTTCTCTCTCTTTCCTCTCTTCCCAGCTCTCTCTCATTCCCAGGCCTTTCCCAGCCACGTGGAGTGCCAACCTTGCCTGGTCCCAGCAGGTCTACTGAATAAACCTACCCCTTACCTGAAAAAAAAAAAAATAACCACAATTAGATTCTTCTGTGGAATTGAACAAGTTCTGTCAAAATGAATGGGTTACTTGATTTCTTTAACATCTTTGGGATTTTGGAATCTTGTTTTTTAACATGGAAAAAGAGTTATGGTACATAAATTTTTCCTAGAAAGTTTGTTTTAGTCTCTAAACAAAATTTCATGCCTTGGGCAAAATTTGCTAATAAACTCAATATATGTACATAACAATCCAAAAATATATTATACCAAATAACTAGTATAATTGTTCCAAATAGTTGTTTTAGCTATAGAATCATCTGCTCTATCCATTGAATGTAGTCAGTTTTAACTTGGATTCATTGAAAACGAATACTTTAAAACATGCCAAGATGCATCAAAAACTAAGTAAGAAATATAAAATGTTGTCAAAAGAGTGTGTTTGAACCTATCCTATTAACCAGTATTAATTAGTAGTGTTAAATAAAAGTATTAATAGCCTTAATTATCTATGAAAATGAATGGCTGATGGACTGAATCAGGAACAGCTCATAGAAAATAGGTTTAAGTGTAGTTGTTTTTTTCAACACATATGTAAATTTAATTTAAGTGCTTTTGTATCTAGTAACTTTAATTTCTTAGATTTCTGAATATTTTTCAAATTACTAGCAACTTATGATACTTAGGTTAGTATCATTTACTTGAGACTATTTCAAACTGTGATTAGGGTGTGAACTGAGCTTAGGAAATAAGAAAATGATTCATAAGAAGATGATTGCTCATGGAGGTTGGAAGGTGAACACACCTTCATGTGTGTCTGCAGACATAATTGTGGTGAGGAAAATAGACTCCTGACCTGGAATAGCATCCCAACTACAGGCCAACACCACATTGTCTGGTAGAATCATGCTGCAAGTATAAATGCCTACCTACCTCTTCAGAGATTCTGTCTCAGTTGTGTGATAGGGGCTCTTGCATGTATATTTTGGTAGAGCTGGGTGATTTTTCAATATATGCTTAGTTGAGGTACAAATAAAGAATGTGGCTATGTTTTGAGGCTAAAATTCACTTGTGTAGCAACTGAGTAAGCTACATTTAATGTTAGGTATGATATCTTACTTTAACATGATTTTTAAAAACAAATACTAGGTTATCTTATTAAATTTGCATCACAGGTATACAGTGTCCATATAGTCTTATATATTCATATATACATATATACTTATATTTATACATATGCTCATATACACACACACACTCACACACACATACATGGAAACAGAGTAATAAAACCCACTGAATAATGAAAAATGTTGGTGGAAGGAAAGGGGGAATGGGAACGGAATGGAGAAGTTGAATTAGTTCAGAGTGTATTACATATATATGGAAACACACAATGAGACATCTTCATGTTACAAATGTACACCAATTTAAAAAGAAAATAAGTTTGTGTGTATTAGTAGATCTATGTTTTTAAAAGAAGTCTTTAAAATACTATCATTCATGCATTGTGTATGTTATATTTCAAATAAGATTTTCAATGTAAAAGTCATTAGAAAGTGAAATGTCCGTGAGTGTCAAGGTTGTTTCAATCCTTGGGCCTGCTAGGATGCTGAACCTTTCAGTCTGGAAAAATAGACTGTTGTAGAAGATTCTTAAGGTTCTAAAATAAGGCAGTGTCTCAGCTCTCAAGCAAAATTGTGTAACATAGGCATTTTCCCCTAAGAGTCAGAACTCATTTCTCTCCTCAAGAAATGTGAAAGGGTGGATTTCACTTAACTTCATGGTCAATTTAAAATAATAAAATGCCTTTCAGGACCTGATTGACTGGTACAAAATCAGTTTGTGGCATTGCTTCAGCTGTGTAATGTAATTGAGGAAGAAAATTCACAAAGGAGTCTTTTATTTCTAAATGGTCAGATTCTGGTACAGTCTCTAACCATTCGCTGGTCTAGTGCATGACAACTGTATTAAAATAATATTAGTTTCCTAAGAAAAAAGTTAAAGGTTATTGCCCAAGCGATAGAGGGCATCAGTGTTTTTAGATTTCCTTTAAATCCTGTTTCCTATTAGGGCTTTGGACAATAGCCTTCTTGAAGCCTGTCTGACATATGGCTTCAGGACATCTGAAGGCATATAGAGCAAGCTTTACTTTCCCGTAGGTCATTTTTGTGTGGAACTGAGTGCAAAGATTGTCATGCCCCACACCCACGCTCTTCACAATGTAAGAGCTGTCTCTATGGTGACTCCATTAATAAAATCTGATGTAAGGATTATAGTATAATTCAAAATTTTTATTTTTTTAAATAACATGCTGTCCTAAACATGCTCGAAGTCAGTGTGATATACAATCATGTTATTACAATAATGTTCTTACATGACATCAAATATGTATGGTTCTTTAGGACATCCTAAATGCAAGAAAAACTAATATTCTGATTTAAATTCAGTGTGCTTATTTCTCCCATTGCTATAATAGGTGGACACAATAGATGCAGAATCAATGATGGCCCTTGTTGTTCAGTGCTGTTTTGGTGCCAATAACCATATTTTTACTAAGTACTTTAGATCATTCCCAAGTTCTCCCTCCTTTTCTTGGGTTTGATGTAAAGCTGGAGGGATGGCAACAGTGCTGCGCACTTCCAAATCAGAGAGCTGCTGAGACTCCCTGCAGAGCCACTGCTCATGTGCTATGCAGTCACCCAGGGCCACACTCACCATGCAGATGCCCCATGATACTAGATAGATTATGATTGTCCTTTTTTCAATTGTTTATCAAATATATATGTATATGTATATATATATATATGTATATATATCATATATATCATGTGTGTATCATATAGCATATATTTCATATAAATGAAAGAACAAATGTACATAGGTATAATTGACATATATATAATATGTATGCACATATCATAAAATGTCAAGCAAGAGCTTGCAGAGATATGCATTATAATCATTTAAAAAGTGACTGAGGCCAGGCACCAGTGACTCACACCTGTAATCCTAGCTACTCAGGAAGCTGAGTTCTAAGGATCATGGTTCAACGCCAGCCCGGGCAGGAAAGTCCATGAAACTCTTATTTCCCATAAACCACCAGAAAACCAGAAGTGGCACTGTGGCTCAAATGGTAGGGTGCTATCCTTGAGCTGAATTGCTGAGGGATAGCACCCAGGCCCGGAGTTCAAGCCCCATGACCACCACCACCACCACCACCAACAACAACAACAACAACAAAGTGACTGAGAAAATGTAGAGATCTTGAAGCTATAGCTAACAGTGGATTTTATTGTGAGACTCAGAATTACGTCATGGGGAAGGATGACTTTTAAGACTTCTTGTGCAATTCATGGTAGGTCTGAATTCTGTTGAGAACCTAAAACACATCTAAATCACTGGCTTGTCTTTCCTAGCACATGGATCATTTTCTAGAAGACTGATCTTTTACACTGATAAGGAGCACTTACCAGCATATCTTTTCTTCTGGGCTTCCTTTAGGTTTGGTGTCTGGGCAATGAGACAAGATACCATATAAACAAGACAGTAGATGGCTCCACATTTTCCGTGGTCATTCCCTCCCTGGTTCCTGGGGTCCGATACAGTGTAGAGGTGGCAGCCAGTACCGGGGCCGGGCCTGGAGTGAAGAGTGAGCCTCAGTTCATCCAGTTAGGTAAGTGTCCCTGTGTGGATCACTCAGACAGTCTGTCCCTCTACCACCCATTCTGCTTTGCTTTGGTTTTCAAGTGGCCAAGCTATATGTGTCTTACAAATACAACGGGTATTATTTGAAACGTACTTAAGTATAATCAAGACAGTCATGCATTGCTTACCAATAGGAAGATATGCTGAGCAAGTCCTTGTTAGGCATTTTTGTCATCATGTGAACATCAGAGTCACATTAATACCACCACAGGGTCCCAAATCCATAATCCTTTGATGTGGCACATGCCTGTAGCTACTTCACAACAAAATGTAAACTTACCCCCACCATTTCCAGCAAAGCATCCTTAATACTATCAGTCTTATACTGATAGAATTTGTTCAGCTATTCAAGAAATATCATGAATTGAGCAACAAGAGTACTTCAGTGAACAAGAAAGGCCGACTGTGTACCCTCATAGACACACACTATTCAGAGTCAAGTAAATTTAAAAAATACAATAAAAATAAAAACACCTTCCAGGCAAAACCCAAACTAGGTATTGAAAGTTTAAATTTACACTTAGTGTCTAGTTAAAATTTTAATTGCTTTTATAAGAAAAGATAAACTGGGGTGTCAAATAGCATATGACATATGTTTATATGTGAATTACTTACACAATTAAATATTAATTTCTACTTCAAAAGCCTTGCATTAAAATTTTTTAATCCTTGCATAGGCTTCTCTGTAACCATAATTCATTTTCTTTCAACAATACATTAAACATGATGTGTGAATTAATAAGGGATTACAAGTAAAGCCCAAAGTATCAACAACAACAAAAAATAAGAACAATTATGTCTAAAATTTGGGAAGAAGAATTTCAGATGTTAAGAAGTGTCATTTAAATTTATAAAAGGTACTAAAATGTATACATTGGTGTGCTACAAGTCAGGAGCAGTATTTTAGGTAATAACAGTTAATATTTTATGTCAGATGTTACATTACAGAACAGGTCCAGATAATAAGAATCTCTGTACATCACAAACACATACTTAGTATTTTTGTATAACACTATTGATAACATCTGTGAATTCTCTCAAAATGAATTTAAGGACATTTGGCCTTCATTAAATTGGCTGTTCTTTATCCTTGGTTGTTGATCTCTCACTGTTGACACAGTTCTATTTGCAGGAACAGTATACTTGCAAAAATTGTGATGTTGTAGTGTTAAGACTTCTCCCTAAAGTCCAGTGGTTGGGTGAGACTCTCTTCCAGACAGATATCAAGGGTCACAGGCCAAGGAGGGTTGGCATCTTTAACAAGGGGTTTCCACATTGTCCCTGAAGCAGCAGAGAGAAAGAAAGAAGCACATAATCTATGGGAGGATTTAAGAGATTCAGATCTGGAAAGGTGGATATTAATTAATCTTACCCAATATGATTGTAAGCAGATGACTGGGTCCACTGCCAATCAGTCATTGATTAAGGAGACTTCTTCTAACAAGCCTATGGGTAGGTGAGCTTTTACTGGACAGCTTGCTTACTCTGTAATAGCAATGGGCAAGAATGTTTATTTGCATGTGGGGGGGGTGAGCACATTTTAAAACCATGTTTAAAAAAATATTCTACTGTTGTTAAGTAGTTGTATGAAGGAGTTGCCATTCAAACAAGTAGTTTATGAATACAGTGTGTCTTGACCAATGTCATGCATAACTTTTCCTGAAGCAATAAAAGAAATTAAAACTGTGCAGAACCCATTTGCTACATTAATATAACAGATGGGAGAAACAAGTAATCTTTAGAAAATTGTTGATATTTAGATATATGTCCACATTTTAGGAGGAATTGTCAATAATAATTTGGCAAAATTAGAGTTGTAGTTTACATGGTGGTGACCTGTGCAATGTTGATGTTTCCCATTGATGACACATGACTTTCTCACCTTGTTTTTGGAGAATGAATTGGCTAAAAAGGAGCTTGAGTAATTTGACTCACTTAAGACTTAAATCTTGATAGTTAAGGGTCAGATTTGGTTTTCTCTTTTTTTAATTTTTTTAAAAAGTTTTTTTGTTGTGAAAATACTGTACAGAGGGGTTACACTTACATGAGCAAGGTAATAAGTACATTTCTTATCAATTATTGTTACCTCCTCCTTTGTTTTACCCCTACCAACCCTGCTCTCCCACCTCTACAACTACCCCCCTCCCCCCAAGCTGTAAAGATCGTTTACAACATAGCATTTTGTACATCTCATTGTTGCAATGGGTCCACCTGTATCCTTATTTAAAGATTTGGTTTTTTCTCTTCCCCTCCACAAAATATACCAACATCATACAGTGAAAACAGGGGTTATACCGTGGGGAGGGACATACAAAGCAACAAAACCTTATAAATATGTTCGAAACAATAGCAAGAAAGAAAAAAACACTTGTGTCCCTATCTTGGGGTTCATTCCCCTAACATCATCTTATCTGGCCTTTTCCGCTTGTCCCAGCCATATCCTAGGTATTGCAAATAAGGGAAACCATGGGACCTATGTTTCTTTGGGCCTGGCTTATTTCACTTAATATAATTTTTTCCAAGTTTTTCCATTTCCTAACATGGGGCAATGCCATTCTTTCTGATGGAGGCATAGAATTCCATTGTGTATATATACCACATTTTCTTGATCCATTTATCTACTGAGGGGCATCTGGGTTGGTTCCATATTTACTGCAGCATTATTTACCATAGCTAAGATATGGAACCAACTCAGATCTGCTTTTCTTGGTATCATGAGTATGTGTTAGTTTTCCAGGTGTGAATAGAGGCTGTGCTGCTATGAAACAAAGCCTGAGCTGCAGTGTGACTGTTTGTTCATTAGTCACACCGCCCCCGCTCCCTCCAGCTCATCTGGCCCTTTGCATGGAGACTCTCCTGACTCTTTCCATAAAATCTGAAGCTACCCAACCTAACCTTGGGCAAATAGCCGTGAAATCTATAAACCTGGCAGATACAAAGGGTGTGTAAGGAATAAAAAGAAGAGGCTTTTTTCTTTCAGAGGTAGAAATGCTCTTAGGATACCCAGAGATTAAAGAGTTTAGAACATGAAATAGAACATTTAGTCAACAAGCAGTTGAAGGAAAGTGAATTCTTGAGAAAATAGGTTTTTCAGCCTTGACCATCCATACAATGAAATCTCGGTCTGTTCAAGTCAAAAAAAAAAAAGCAAAAGCAAATACTCTCTTTTTCTGTCTCTGTCTCTCTCTAACACACAGGCACACTGATATAACACACACACACACACACACACACACACACACACACTGTCTTCATGGGAATTCAGCCATTTCACAGAGATGCTGTTTTATAAAGGCTTTGTCCAAAGCTACAGAATGTTGTTTAGCCTTCATTGCTCGTTGTCTCTAACAAGATAAAATTATATTTAATCATAAAAGAAATCTTCATACTTTTTTGACTTAAGGAATGATACTCGTCTAGAATGATGTATACAAATTTTATGTAATTCATTAGAATTCTAATGAATTCTAATTCTCTAGAGTTCTAAATGTATTTGGGAGCTGGAAAGTATTTCTATGTCAAGGCAGATGATATTAGCCTAATTGGAATATTTCTCTTTAATATGGTTCTGAGGTCTTTCTCTGCAGAATGGATGTGAATTTCCGCTCTGACCTGACCAAGCTCTAGGAGATGTGGTTGTGGGTATTTCAGGATAATTCTTTACCCTGATAATTCTTTACATGATGCCTGAGTATCCAGCTCTGTGCCCAGATGTGGCAATCAGGAAACTTACATAGAACAGCAGATATTCCTGTGTGGCTTTTGTCTGGCTTTTAAAAATCTCCTTGATTGGGAGAAGAGCTAGGGCTAGGTGTTTTGATCAGATGAGATTCAGCAAAGTCAATAAAACAAAGCACAGGAAATATGGAAGCACTTTATTACTCACAGATCTTGAGAGAGAAGGACTGCTGACAAAGGAAAATGCACAGAAGCAATGTGCTCACCCAGAGGGCTGAGGTCTTCATTTGCTCATTGTGCTGCACCATGGTGTTTCCTGTGGTGAGTTACGGTGGTTCTTAGAGAAAACAGACATGATTAGTTCTCTCTCTGTTCCACTGTACATCACAAGGGTGAGAGAAGCCAGTCTTCTCACTGGGAGGAGATCCCCAACAGCCAGTTAGTTGGATAGGGCAAATGATATATATTGGCCATATTGAGGAAGTAGGATAAAACAAATTTCAAGAGACTATGCCAGTGGCAATCCTTTCTCTGGTGTGAGAATGTTCATCTTATTTTCAGAATATTAATGGAATCAAGGAATGCACTGCAAGAATATTGTCTGGGTCAAACAATTTTAGAATTGTATGAAAAACCAATCATAATGAATGAGCAAGCATCTTGCTTTAGTACATGTTGAAGAGAAAGAATATTACAACTTTTCAGATGAATGAGAATTTTCCCCATTGGGTGAGCTTGGGGTTGGCCTCCATTAGTGTCAGTAAAATGGGATATTGCTTCCAGCTCTCTCAGAGTGTTTGGTGTCACCTGGTGAAATGGTGGACTAGAACTGGTCTTCCTAGGTTCAAGACACATGGCATGAAATGAGTACATTTTATTTCCTCTGCACTTCATCAATTTTTAATTCTTGAATCAAAATGTTTAATAGAAACTGTAAGTCTTCTTGACTACTCATAACACTTGATCATTCTTTTGCATATTTAATGTTCTTTTCTTATAGCTATTGCTGCCTGTGGTTATTATTTTAGAAGAGAGATGGTTCATAGTTCTCTTAATTTGTCATTGTGTTTTAATGATCAGTAATTTTATGGGATTTTTTTCTTCTTTTGGAACATGGGTTCAAGTAATGTGTTTATTCAACAGTTAAGGGTCTCACAGTGTAGTGTGGGAAGGAGACACAACCATAAATTACCAGACTTGTGGCATTTTGTTTGTTTGTTTGTTTTTTAAGATCTGCCTTAGAGTAGAGAAAAAAAATCTGTCCTCTTTTAAATGTGGACTTGAAGGTTCCTGTGAGGAAATTTGTATCTTTTGTACATGCCCTTCTGCAATGCCCCTTCTTTACTTCTATGCTTGCATCAAAACATTTCATGTTTTTAGTTTCGCATGTTCACATTGTGTTTAGCCTTGCCCTGTGTAACTTCATAAACAGGAGCAATAGAGCTTCATGAAATCAAAAGGGAAATAGTGGAATTTTGCTGGAAATTTCACAAACTATGTTACTTCTCCCAATGAAGCACAGAAAAAAACCAGAAATGACTGTGTAAAACAGAGCCAACTAATATAACCGCCGTTCTCTGTGATGTGTGCTTCCGTTCTCCCGCTGGGGATACAACTGCCATTAATCAGAAGCTGTCCTTTCAGATTCTCATGGAAACCCTGTGTCACCTGAGGATCAGGTCAGCCTGGCTCAGCAGATTTCCGATGTGGTGAAGCAGCCAGCGTTCATTGCGGGAATCGGGGCAGCCTGCTGGATCATTCTCATGGTCTTCAGCATCTGGCTTTATCGACACCGCAAGAAGAGGAATGGACTCACCAGTACTTATGCGGGTATCCGAAAAGGTATTAGCTTTCTCCAGTTTGTTGGCTTGTACTATGCTTAGTAAAACTCAGTGTTTACAAAACTACTAAATTACTCATGATTTTACATGTATACATATATATTCTACATGTAATTCTTTTAATGCACTTGTATTTTAATAATACTTTTTCTTTACAATAGTGTCTATGTACAAACCTCTTCGGGGTAACAGTGAAACAAAGTAAGCTCATTAGTTTCACAGGACCCCCTTGTTTTCAAATATGCTTCATCAAGAGACATCTAGACTTGTCCTCACACATTGCTCTGTTCTCTTAGGCAATTATTTTATTGTTTTATGTTATCCATGGAAATTGTGATGTCATCACAGGAATTTAAGTCTGAGCCTTATACTCCAGTATTTGGTGGGGAGGTGAAAGTGGAAAGTGCTATTGCCTTTTGTGAAGCAATGAACAGAGAACACTGCCAGTAATGACTTCTAAAAGTAGTTCTTTTTCAGTGAGTATACCCCAGGCCTATCATTAAAAGAGAGAAGAGGCTTGGTATTATTTTTCTTCTTAAAGGACCAAAGTTGAATATTTACCTGTTCCTCATGATAGTTTTGGGGGGGGGGTCCAGTCATGGGGCTTGAACTCTGGGCCAGGGCGCTGTCCCTCAGCTCTTCAGCTCAAGGCTAGTGCTCTACCACTTGAGCCACAGCGCCACTTCTGGCTTTTTTTCTTTTTGCTTATGTGGTACTGAGGAATCGAACCCAGGGGCTCAGGCATGCAAGGCAAGCGCTCTACCACTGAGCCACCTTCCCAGCCCCCCTCATGATATTTTTTAACACTGAGTTTCATAAGTTTAGAAAACTGCTATTAGTCATAGTTTTGAGGATGTACCAGATATACTGAGCTGTTTTGTAAATGCATTTGCTAGATAGCCTCAGACTCAGAGGATTATTGATTTGTATTTTTTTTAATCCTCCAAGGAGATTATTAACACTGTCAGATAGATAATCTTCTTTCCTCCCCTCCCAAATATGCTCCTCAAGTCTGGGCTATATATAGCTTAGCTGTAAGTCTCACTTTTCCAAAGTATCTTTAGCTCAACAAAATTATTTATATTTTCTGCTCTCAGAATTGTTATGATTTTGTTGCCCAATCATGCATTACCCTAGTTTCAGGGCTCATACTTCAATGTAATAGAGAAGTTTTGTACTGCTAGCGAGCAAAGCTAAAGAAGAGTGCCAACAAAGACAGACTTTCCCAAACATCTCCACCCTTTTTTCTCATTATCTTCATATTTCCTACTTGAACATGTCCTATGTATCTCAGCCAGGTAATTTCCCTAAGTCTATGACTCAGTAGGAATTTCCAGTGCTAGCTACAACTGGAATGTCCTGATGCATTGGTAAGACATTCTGGTCAGCAGTTTTTAAGTAGTTATTCCCACGTTTATAAGAAAACAAAACAATCAGCACAGATCCATCAGCAATATGTAAAAATGAATCTCAGTGCCTCCTCGCCGGCTCTAATGCCACCTTCTCCTTGTACATAGACGGCCTTTGTGTTCCCTCCCATCCCTCCCTACATTTCTATCCACACATGCGCCCTGTCTAGAGATGAAGCAACATGTCAGTTTCCCAGCCTGCAACACAGAAAACAAAATGAGGGCTTCCAGATTCCTGCACACATAGTACTTACTGGTCATTCTGTATCCGGAAAAGAAGAATGTCAGGCCTAGGTATTGTCGTACAAACCTGCAACCACACATCAATGCCAAGAAGGTTGTTTATGGGTGCCTCTGTGTGGGGAGGTGAGGAAGGAGCCAGGTCTGGACTGGCGGAAGACGCTATGTTTTGAAATCTGCTTTAAATAAAGAAGAGTGACCGCTTCACACGTGGATGCACGGTCTCTTGAACACACTGGTCAAAATGATGGGTGTGATCTATTCTGTTTTGCAAATAGCCAGTGAGCAGTGAGAAGCACTTACTAGGCTTGCTAGTGGAAAAGTTTCATGCTCTGTTGTAGCCTCGAAGCCCCACCCCTGATGTGGCGATCTCCCTCTCCCCGCCCCCCCCCAGCTGAAATGTTGTTTCCTTTACTAATGTCCCCTGGAGCATGCTGCACATGGCCTGTGTGCTCTTCCCGCACACCCTGTGACACTAATATCTCTTCCACTCCCTTCTGTGTAACGTAAGCAGCGCCCACAGAACATAATCACAAATGTAAGCCGAGGAACATCCATTCTGCTTTTCCTGGTTCTTTTTCTTACCCAGCCTTTTTAAAATGCATTGTAAGATCTTAAGTTTTCTATACCACAGTTAAAGCCAATAATTTTATGAGAATAAGACAGACGTAAGTGACAAAGACCCATAGAATACCAAATATCAAGCTATAATCTGGCTTTTTTTTTTTGTTTTAAGCAAGTCTCCCTCTGCCCAGGCCCTTGGACCACTCCGTTTCCCTACCATGTCCACATGCAGCCAGGAAGTACAGCCACTTCCTTGGGTGGGTACAGATGCCAGGCTTTGAGACTTAAGTTGATTTTTGATGCTAGTGGGAAAAATGTCACTTAGTACTCACCCCTTTAAGTCTCGCCTTCTATTCCTCTCTCTAGGCCAGGTCAGAAGCAATGACAAGGACCCTCTCCTGAGTTCCACATTTGTCCTTGTGATCGCAAATTAATGTGCAGGCACTTGGCTCTTGCTTGAATTGCTTCTGTATCAGATGTACATCTCTTTTTAATGAAGACTTGTTACTGTGGCTCTGAACTTTTGAATGTCAGTACATTTCATTGACTCTCTGAAAAGACTTGGCTGAAAGAAAACACAATAGAATTCTTAGGAGAAAGGCTTCTTCGCTCAAAGGAAGGCCAGTATGTGCGCTGGAGACAGAAGTCAGGGTTTTGTTACTCTTGTTTGGGTGCTCAGAGGGAAAGAAGCTAGGGAAGAAGGAACAATTTGTGAGGATGTTTTTAGCATTCCACTCTGCAAGGCCCCAAACTCTAATCCTAAAGTAAATTAAAAAAAAAAAAGAATCAATGTTCAAATGGAAAATAGGAAATCCCTTTTTGGCAGCCTATTCTTTTCAGTATATGTTAATCAGTATTTTTGTTTGTTTGTCTTAAGAATTAAAAAATAAAGCAATCCTTAATCTTCAAGAAAGAAATATGGATTCCCTTGCTTTCTTCACCAGGGCAGCCTTTACTTTAAAGATTGGACAATAATTCAGTCTCCTCCCTGTATGAAATGACATGGAAATGACTCTGGCAGTATCCCACACTCAGGAATGGGAGAAGACAGAGAAAGTGGGAGGGAAGCCAGGCTGCTACTTTTGAGGTCTGCAGTTCAATTTCAGGCATTATTGATTAGATTAAGATTTATAACTGCAGAGAGAGTGAAGGTTCTCAGAGGAGTGTTATTGTTCTATTGTTTAGTGTCTAGCATCACAGAAGGAAAAAAGAATATGTTCATCCTACCCCGAGAAAGCTTCTAAATGTAAATTACGATGGCAACATTGAAGTTCAAGGCTCCACACTTCTTTTTTTTCCTGTCTCCACAAATTTTTAAGATGATGAAAATGTAATGCTATTAGGTTTCTATATTCAGGCACTTCTTGTCAGTGAGACAGTTTGATTTTATGATTCTCTTTGTTTCCTCCTCCTTCTCCTCCTCTGCTTTGCCTCCTCCTCATCCTTCTTCTTTTCTTCTTTCCCCTCTCTTCTTTCTTCTTTTTTTTCTTCCTCTTCTCCTCCTTTTCTTCCTATTCCTCTTCCTCTTTCTCCTCCTCCTTCTCCACCCATCTCTATCTCTTCCTTCCTCCTCCCAGTCTCCCTTTCTCCTTTCTTTTTCCTTCCTTACTGCTTCCAGTAATGAACACTTAAGTGCACCTATTAGTTCATTTAATAAGCATTTACTTTCAGATTCCCAGATAAGGTTCCAGCAAAACCCTGATAATACTTGTTTAAGAATCCATCATCCGGTGTTTGGGAATGATTAATAGAAAGGGATTCCTGTTTGTACAAACGTCACTAAATGCAGGGTCATTTGCAGGCTAACACAGACAACTCCCCTCCCAAGAGTGTTAGCTGTCTTACACGCCACAGTGGTACCTGTAGAGACAAGCATTTTTCTTTTTTAAAACCTCCGATTTTGTTTTATTCATATAGCAGAGTGTCAGACCTACTGGCTTAGCTGTTTACATTTGTTTTATGTTCAGCTGTCTGCTTGATTTATACTAATGTGATGTATTCCCTTCTCTCTTCAGCTTAATAACTGGTTTCTATTTTGTTTTGATTTTTCAGTCCCGTCCTTTACCTTCACACCAACAGGTACATATTTGCTCCTCTCCTCTCCCTTCCCTTTGTTACCTTGGCATGTGTTTTACTATTGTGTTTCTGGTTTTAGTTGGTTCTCAGCAGTAACTTGGGGGAAAGGATGTAAATAGAATCCAATACTTCATCTACTCATGCAGGCATGCATTGGAAGTAGAAAGAGTCGGTGTGATTTTTTTGTTTCTCTTTTCCTCCATTTAGTTTATACCTACACCACATCACACCTTAACCTGAATTGCATGTGTGCCCCTTCCGTAGGCACGGTTGAACCCTTGGCATGATTTAACATGCTAATCATCTCATTGATTATTTCATACTTGGCAATGCGATTCCCCCCTCCCCCTTCATTTCAGCTTTCACATTTTCCCAGGAGGGAAAATAAAATCCCTCTCCTTTCTTAGTTCTTTGAGCATTCAGTCAATATTCAAAATGGTAACCAACATGTCCAGCACATATGAAAGATAAAACTTCATTTTCCCCAAGTCCAAATTCTCTGCCCCATTCAGTTTCCTTGCAATGGGACCCCTTCCCTCTCATCACTCCCATCAGTCAGCAGTGTACCTGTAGCCGGGCCTCTTGGTTTTAATCCAGTTACTGGAATGTCTGGGAGCAGTTATCTCTCCCTAACAGACTACCAGTTCAGAGTTTTTCTAAGTAGCAAAACTTGGCAGCTTTGGAAAACACATTTCTCCCTAGAAAATGTGTCTGTATTCACAGAAAAGCTAATCTTCTTAACCCCTTGCCTAACTATGTGCAAATCTTCTTTTTTGTTGTTGTTGGTCTAGCCATGTTTTCAATCCCAAATTTATCAAGCTGAGGATGCTTTTAGAAGCATTAAGATATATTTTCATTATGTATACATGGTTGATGTAAATATAATGAGAAAGGGTTTTCACAAGCTGGAAGAGAAATAGGTCTCCTTAATTAATAGTCACAACCCAGCACACATGTTTGTGTGTACCAAGAGCATTTATCTCTGTTTTCTGGCATGTTCTGGGAAGGATGCATACATATCATGAAATTGTGGGATCTGATAAATTCAAAAGGGATTTATAAAGCTGTTAATGAATAAATAAGTAAGGGTCATATTTATCATGAATCTACTGTAATTTTTGTTTTCCTCAACCTTGTTGGAACTTTAAGAAAATAAAACCAATGCATACTTAATTCTACAAAAAAAACTAAAATAATAGTCCAATAATAAATATGTTACATCTTATAATGACTTGTATCTTGTTTCTAGTAAGGAAGAAAGAATTTCATTCTTGTAGGATGTTCATGAATGTAATGGTTTTGGACTATGCAGGCATGTTTATTAATTGTTCTTTTTATTTTTTTGTAACATTCTAGTAACTTATCAGAGAGGAGGTGAAGCTGTGAGCAGTGGAGGGAGGTAATTATTTTGCTTGTTTCATGGAGCCTAAGTGGGAATTCCAGGTGTTCCTTCTAGTCTTCCTCTGAGATACAATGTCTTCTTCTTTTTGAAAAAAAAAAAAGGTTTATCTTAAAAACAAAAAATTGTTCCACCATCTTACAAAGATTCCATTTGATCTCTGCTGTTAAACTAAACGAGATACATTACCAATGGGAGCCATTGCATTTTAGCAACTGACCACACGAGGGCGGACTTTAACCAAAAAAGACCAGACTTGCTGATTTAGCAAGTGATTAAAAGGAGTTAAGGTGATTAAGCTATGGCATTTATGAAGATTAAGAAATATAGCTAGTTAACAGATACTATCAAAGAAAAAAATGCTCATTTGAAAATCTGCCGAAAGCAGCAGTTGCTCATAAGTTGCAGGTTATGTTTGTTTCTGATGGCTCTGCTTTCAGCATAGGTCACATCTCCATTTGAAGGGAAATATGGTGAAATAGAAGAAAGGATCTAGGTAGCTTGTTAACAAAGAGATTTTCCCCTTCTAATTAAAATGAACCTCCATCCTGTACTTATGTTTTTTTGGTAATTATCATTCAGTGAACCTTAACATATTCACAGAGAAATCACAAATTGGTGTGGCAGGAGGTTGAAGGAGCTGAGCTAGGGTGTACATTGCATGAGGCAAGCTGAAGGATATTCCACAAAATGCTGATTTGGGGTTTCAAATGCAATAACATCCTGGTACCAGGGGAGAACAAAAAGATTTTCCAACTAAAACCATTTTAAAATTCAAATTCAATTAATTTATTGAGTGCCCTTCTTTGTAAAGTTGAATAAGCTTCTGGGCAGAGAAAATTAGTAAGATGTGATTCTTGAATTCAAGGAGCAGAACATCAGACAAAATAACTGAACTTAGTGATTTCTTTCCTAGGGACAGCTAGCTTCCTGTTTTCATACCTGTGAACCTAAGCCCCAAAGACCCAAGGCCAGAGAGATTTTCATAACGAATAAATCCCCTAGGTTGAGGCATTAGATCAGAGCATGTCGTGGTTTTTGTTTTGTGTTTCACTTCAGGGGAATATCATGTAAGTCAAAGCCCAGGCATTTGTGAAAGAGCTTCTGGAATCAGGATGTTTTCTCATGAGTAAACCTGGGGTGCTTGATTATTTACCCACCTCTTTATAGGTGAATATTCATGGATGCCGACATCAATTGGCTTGAAACTGTTCTCTGTGCATGGACACATGTGCACACACTCAAAATCCTGTGCACACACAGAAACCATAAGCTTGTTCATTCTCTAAATAATCTATACCTGGGCTAGAAGCTGCTATTGTATAGGAAACAATGGCCAGATAGCATACTGTTTTCTATGGACAGAATTTTTTTTAAAAAATTCTTTACTGATTTGAAAATTTTACTAATAACTTTTCAAAATAAAAACAGAATTCTAGCAGTGATTTATTTCAAATACTGAATAGATATGAACATTTTTCTAAGTGAAATGATAAAAGATGCAGTGATGACACAGAGGTAACAGAGTGAAGGTATCAACTACAACATGATTGAATTGTGATTTTTTCCCCCTTTATCATGAATTCCAAGTATATGGCAGGAAGTGTTTTAGCTGCTTAGAATCCATCGGTGAACAAAGTAGAAAAAAGTCTAGCTCTTGTGTATCTTAGATTGTAGCAGAAAAAGATACCTGGTGAATAATAATTTTTTTAAGTCAACTGAACCATATAAGCAGTTGGAAAGAAATGTGGGAGATGTTCAATAGAATAAAAAAGCGGGCTCATAATGGGACAATAAAACTATGGATCGCCTTCATCTTTAACACTATTCCAAACATATCTCAACAGAAAGCTACAGTGTAAGTTGCTAATCCTTTTTCTTTTGGAAACCAATCATAAATAGAAAAGTTCTGTCAGCCTATGATGACAGCAAAGCATTCACAGTCATTGTGCTTTGTTTTATGTATGTATGTATGTATGTATGTATGTATGTATCTATTTACTTATTTATTTGGAAAAAAGCACAGTCACATGAGAATTGTAATTTTATAATAGATCCAAAATGAAGAAACGCAAATGATGCTAAGTAGAATGTATTTAATATACTACAAGTAAAAAAAAAAGGAAAGAAAGAAAGAGAAAGCACTAGTTTCCTACATTTTTAGGTGCCATATGTAATTTTTAATTACTGTGACGAAAGGCAATATGGAATAATGCCAACAATAGCAAATTGTAGCTCCAAACACTAGTCTATCTGCTTGGTAGATTATGACTTGATGCACAATTCTGAGATATACCCCAGAACTTTCTGTTAGAGTTGCCTATCTGGAAATAACGAAGAATCAGAGTATAATACTGTTCAACCAAATGATTGCATAATGAACTAAATGGAGTGTTTCCTGGAGTTCCCAGTGAGCAGCCTTTTTTCCATTCACACAACATTTGGCATCATGTATTTCTTTTCTTCAGGCCAGGACTTCTGAACATCAGCGAGCCTGCAGCACAGCCCTGGCTGGCAGACACGTGGCCCAACACGGGCAACAACCACAATGACTGCTCCATCAACTGCTGCACATCTGGCACCGGGAACAGCGACAGCAACCTGACCACCTACAGTCGTCCAGGTTAGGGCCACACAGAGCGTGGGATGGGTTTCCAGGAAGCCTTAGACAGAATTAACCAAGAGGAACCACGTCTCCTTTTCCTCTCCCTGCCGAGTTCAGGAGGAAACAGTTGCCTCAACATTCCCCTGAAGCAACGAACATAACATAGCAAACTAGTCCAATTCAGGCATTTTTCTCTGTCCTTCAATCCTTATGCTTTCCACTCTACTGAGGAAATTGTCCCTGAGGTTAGCCTGTACTCATTCTAAAATAGAGAACAAATTACAGGAAAAATTAAATCATGGCAAAGTGTTAATAAGACTGTAGATAGTTATGATCTTGGACTAGAACTATGAAATATTTATAATATTTAATTATTTTCACAGTACTGAGAAAAACTCTGATCCAAAGGTCAATGAATCTGTAAAGTGAACCAAATTCTCCACTGACAGTAATTACAACAATAATAGTAGTAATAACAATTTTGCAACAAAAGTAACAAAAAAATCTGAAGTAGAAGTTTGCTAAAATTTTCACTGAGATTTTATAGAAGTAAATCCTAAGGGCACAAGAAATATAGAGAGTATAGATATGTATATGTATGTATATTGTAGGTATACATGCATGCACTTATTTCCTACTATGTATTTTGGTGTAGGTATATATGAGTAAAAACATTGCTCTGCTAAAGTTTTACCACTCACTTATTATAGTAGAACAAATGAATGTGGAATACATAAGATAAAGGATAACATTTATAGACAATATCTTACAAAACTTCAGCATGAACACTCTAACAAGTGAAGAAATATGTCTATGAATGGGAAATAACTCCTGTACTAAAGGAAAAAAAAATAGACTGGCAAGAAAAAAGATGGAACTATAAGAATAAATCACAGAGAAATTTGTGATTACTTTAAAACAACCGAGTGCTTTATTCACTCAGTGAGAACATAGTATCATCATGTGACCAGTTATAACCTCCAGAGTTGCCATGTTCTGGTTGTTTGCAGATAGTCACATAATTGTAAGTAAGCAACTATATGGAGACCTAGAGGCCATGAGACATGGTAATACCCATTTAAATTAAGAAGTGGGGGTAGCGGGGCTGGGAAGGTGGCTCAGTGGTAGAGCACTTGCCTTGCATGCATGAGGCCCTTGGTTCGATTCCTCAGCACCACATAAGCAGTAAAAGCCAGAGGTGGTGCTGTGGCTCAAGTGGTAGAGCGCTAGCCTTGAGCTGAAGAGCTGAGAGACAGCGCCCAGGCCCAGATTTCAGGCCCCACAACCGGCAAAACAAACAACAAAAAAAATTAAAAAATAAACAAAACCCACAAGAAGTGGGGTAGTGACTGGCCACTGAAAGCTAAGTAAAATAAATAATATACAACTTAAAATTCAGCTCTTCATCTTCCTAGTTACCTATCAGGTGATCCACAGTTATATATGGCAAGTGGCTTCTCTGGAAAGTAATACCATTTCAAAACTTTCCAGTATCTCTTTTTAAAAAAGAACAAAAAAAACCCCACCTGATTGGATAATACAGATAAAGAAAAATGGCAGAATCAAATGGGATTTTGAGAGCCATTGTTTTTTTATAATACTTCTTCACAGCTATTAAATAGTACTCAAGAGCTTGAAATTAAGGACAAGATTTCTTAAAGACTAAAGGGAGGAGCTAGGAAGGTGGCTCAGTGGTAGAGTGCTTGCCTTGCATGCCTGAGGCCCTGGGTTCGATTCCTCAGCACCACATAAGCAAAAAGAAAAAAGCCGGAAGTGGC